TGGTTTAAAAAGAAAAATTCTTGAAAATATTTCTGTGAAACAGTCTTTTTAAGGAATTAATATATTTGATTTAATTTCTAATAAAAAATTGTTAATAATTATAAAATATTTATCAACTAATATTAAACATATTGAAAATAAAAAAATGGACTGTTTAGACTTTTCTTGTAATGTAAATCAACTAAAATGACTTTTTTAAAACAATTTCGATCTGAGGCCTACAATTATAACCCTAAAAACACAAGATATCTTGGGATATATTGATAATATCCCGCAGATATCCTAGGTATGTCCTATGGATATTAAAAGGATCTCTTAAGGATATCCAAAAAATCGGCGGTTTGGATATCCTTTGGATATGCCATGGATATCTGAGGATATTCACAGGATATCTTCTGGATATCTCTATAGACTTTCATAAATGTCCTCCAGATATCCCATAGATATCGTCAGGATATCCCACAGATATCATCAGGATATCCCACAGATATTTTCAGGATATTCTCAGTATATCTTCTGGATGTCAAGAAGATATTCTCAGGATACTGTTTTTAAAGTCATTATGAGACTACGAGTGAGAATATTCTGTGAATTGAATTTTATATAAATAAAATAAAATGCAACTTGTTTTTCGAGAAAGTTGTTTAATTTGAAAAATTATTAACTAATTTTTTTCTCATTCGTGATTCATTCCTTTATTCATATGCTTAATATTGTCAGAAAATAAATTGGCTTTAAACAATATAAATTCTCCCCCGCAAATAACGAATAACTATTAATATTAATTATACATTAAGTGCATGAGTTTATTTAAAAACTTTGAAAAATGCGTTTCAAATCTTCATTTAAAATAAATTAGAAGCTCATAAGATTTTTCTTTTTATTATATTATTATTCATTATATTAGCTTAACAATTTTAACCTTTAAAAATATATGTTGAGATATTAAATATCCCGTGAATATCCTGAGAATATCCCACGGACAACCTGAGGATATCCCGTGGATATCCTGCGATATAATATCCAATAGATATTTTGTGAATGTCTTAGGGATATCCTGTGGATATCCTATGGATGTCCTGTTGATGTCCCACAGACCGGCGGTTTGAATATCCTAGGGATATCCCAAGATATCCTGGGGACCATTCTAGGATATCGACCATTGATATGGATATCCTAGGTATATCCTTTTGTTATGAGGGAAAAATGTTAGACAATAATTTTTAGAAGCAAAAGTTTGAATTGAAAATTTAAAAAATTATAATTTTAGTAGAATTTTTGTACTTTTCATAAAATTCCCTGACTTTTCTCTGATTTCCCTCCGCAAACCGTTAGTATAACTCTACTTAAAATTTCAGTTGTTAATAACTAGAAGTAAAAGAATAATATATATCATTGAAAATTTATTTTTTTATTTTTAGGTTATCTGTTAAAAAAATTTTGACTAATTTTTCTTAATAACAGGAGTCATTTCTCAACATTGAAGAAGTAAAAATTAAACTTTCTCTGTACTTAATTCTATTTTCTTCTATTTTCACAAAAATTAAATTTCTAAATGCACTTTAAAATAACACATCAGCGGAAATAGTATCTGCATATTTTCAAGGCTAAAGATGTTTTTTACTACAAACACAAAAAATACTATTTTTTAAAATAAGAAAAAAATTTATAACGTCTTGGCTTTAAGTAAAGAAAATTTTCTTAATTTTAAAAAGAAATCTTTTTTAAAAAAAAGTAAAAAAGAAGAACATTTTATTTTTATGTGTATCTTTTTTGGTTTTTTAAAGTGATAACTTCAAAACATTTGTTTCTATTTCAATTTAGTAAATTTCCTATTGTAAATTATTATTCAGTCAACAAAATTTAATAGTTTTTGAGAAAAAAAATGCTAGAAATAAGTAGAAAATCGGATGATAAAAGATGTTTCATTTGATCATAAATATTGAAATAATTTAAAAAAATGGTTGTTTTCCTATTTAAAAAAATGTGTTTCTTAAAAGAATTAAGAAAATGTTAATTTTTATATTATGACATAATAAATAATTAAAATAATAAATATTAAACAAATTTTTCAATAAAAATTTTTGCACTTTGTTAAATATGTTGGATTTATTCATTAAAAATTATTGCGCAGTCGTTGATACAAAACTGCGAATGAATATTTACTTTTATGCACATAATGCGGTGTAATATTACTTGAATATTAGAGTAAAATTACAATGAGGCGGACATTTTTATATAATTATAAGATCATCAAAACGTTGAAGTATATTGAAGTATAATATATTAATTATACATACAGGGTGATTTTTATATTCCAGACCCGTTAAAAATTTTATTTTAATTCAACTTTTTTTTTGTTTAAAAAAACCAAAAAAATGATATAAAAAAAATTTAGGGATCCTGCATATTATAATAAATATATTTTGCATTTATGTATTGTATTGGCTTTAGGATCCAAGAATATAAAAATCCAAGAACTTAAAAAAAATTTATTTAATTAATGATTATTATTAAATAAATATTTCTAATAATAGAAATAATATTAAAAAATAAATAAATAAAAATAATAATATTAATATTTATAATAAATTGTAGGTAATCAAAACATTAATTCATTTTAAACAAATAATATTTAGTTGACATAAATAATAATTACTTAATAGAAATAAGTATTTATTTAATAATTGAATATTTATTTAATGCACTGAAAAAATTTATTAAATTCAAATAATCAGTTACTCGATTATTGTCAAACAAATATATTTTGTATTAAATAATTACAGGCCTCGGATCGACTTAAAGGCACAAAAAAAGTCATTTTAGTCGATTTATATTCCAAAAAAAGTCGAGAAAGTCGATTTTTTTTATTTTAACAAAAATATTTTACAGAATTTTAAATAAAAATTTTTTTTTCAAATAATAATACTTTTGGAATAGTTAAAGTTGAAATTTTTAGAAAAAATTGAATTTTAAAAGATTTTGTTAATTTTCAGACAATAATTAAATTTTACAGAACTAAAAATAATTTATCAAATAATTTCAGATAACATTTTTTAAATGTAATTGAATTTTCAAAGATTTACAATTGAGATTTTTAAAATTAATTGAATTTCAAGTGATTTTTAATTAAAAATTTTTGATGATTTCACTAAAAAATTTATTAGAAGTTGCGGACAAAAATACAATAATTTGAAAAACATTTTTCATTGAGAAATGGTTTCAGATAGTTGAATTTTCAAAGAAAATTATAAAAACAGTTAAAAATAATTTAATTTCCTTAGAGTTATAATAATTGAAATTGTTAAATTTCAAAAAATTTTCAATGGAAAATTTTAGAAATAATTAAATTTTAGAAGCTTTTAAATTCAAATTTTTGAAAATAATTGAATTATAATTGAAATTTTTGATAATAATTCAATTTTAGTTGATTTTTTATTGAAAATTTTGATAATAATTAAATTCTAGAAGCTTTTAAGTTCAAATTTTTGAAAATAATTGAATTATAATTGAAATTTTGGATAATAATTAAATTTTAGTTGATTTTTGATTGAAAATTTTGATAATAATTAATTTTGAATTGAAATTTTGGATAATTATTTATTTATTTATTTATACATATTTCCCTGCGGTCATATTCATATTATTCATATTATTGAATTTTAATTGATTTTGAATTGAAATTTTGGGTAATAATTAAATTTTATCTGATTTTAAATTGAAAATTTGGAAAATAATTTAATTTTAAAAGATTTTGAATTGAAAATTTTGAAAATAATTGAATTTTCTTTGATTTTGAATTGAAATTTTGGGTAATAATTGAATTTTCTTTGATTTTGAATTGAAATTTTGGGTAATAATTGAATTTTAGTTGATTTTGAATTGAAATTTTTGAAAATAATTGAATTTTATTTGATTTTAAATTGATTTATGATTTTGAATTAAAATTTTTTGGTAATTTTATTTTTGTTATTTTTTTAAATTATAAACAATTGTTAAATTTTATAAAAATTTTAATTGAAAAATAATTTGAAATAATTAAATTTGTGATGAATTTCATTAAAATTATTAAAAATAATTAATTTAGTAAAGAATTTTTGTTAAATAATTGAAATAAGGAAAATATGAAGAAGATCTGCATTTTATACTAAAAAAAAATATATTTTTTTAAAAAATTTTTTAAAAAATATAAAAAAAGTCGAAATAGTCACATTTTATTAAAATAAGTCGAAAAAAGTCGTATTTTTGAAAAAAAGTTGGAAATAGTCGAAAAAGTCGTATAATCTGAGGCCTGTAATTATTATTTCAGTCAATTTGATTTTTTTAAATGTTCCAACAGTTTATATTACTTTATTATCAAATAAATTTTTTTTTTTTATTGAATTTTTATTATTTGAACCAATTAAATTTGTTTTGAATTGAATTAATTTCTGCGCTTGAAATACAGAAACCGTTGGTTCGAATATTCATATTGCTTATTTAAATTAAATATTACTTACATAGTTCAATTAAATATTTATATTTGATAATAAAGTAACTAATTATTTAAATCAAATTAATTTTTTGTTTTAAATTTAAAAATGTTTATCATGTCAAAACACGTGTTTATTTTCCGTATTAATGATAACAAAAATTTTAGGTATATTATATATTGAGAATAATTTTTATGAAATATATTAATTAGAAAATCAAATATTTATTTATTTACTTCTACTGTCAGAAAAAAAAATTATAAAATTCTATTAATCTTATAATATTTTTAAAAAATTTTATTTATAAATAATTATTGCATAAAATTGTTTTCAGATAACCTTAAGATAAACTTTTGAATATTTTTTTTGAATTGTCATGTAATAAAATTAATATAAAATACCGGAACTTTTAGATACATTTGGCGTACGTGACATAATATACTTCATAAATGGAGCCAACATATACAATATATATGTATACACTGACATTAAAAATTAAGGCACCGGGTTAATTTATCGAGAGCTTACCCCACGTTCTGCCGCTTATAAATGTAAAAAAAACTGTAAATAATACAGTTGACGCGAGAAATCGCAAATCAGAAGACATTATGATCTTCCTTCATTGATAAATATTTGAAATTGTCATGTTCTCAAAAAGCAAGACACGCGGGTTATATGGTTACAAGTGAGACTACACTCAATGTGCACGCAACCTATCTTCCACAATACTAATACAAAGATGATTTTCTGTATGTGCATCAAGTGAGAACTAAGTTCAGTAGTATAGCAATAGGTAGGAAATCGAGTTTGCGCAATATAGTTTCTGACAATACGAAAGACATGCTGCGCTTCATTTGAAATATGTACATAATATACGTATACATAAAAGAACAAAATTTATTTTATTTTTTTTCTAAACTTTATTTTTTTACAAATATATAAGTAATAAAGTTAAAGTGTTCTTAATTTTATTATTATTTGTCAATAATTTAATAATCATTAAAATATTATTGTAAATTATAAATTCAAAAATAATATTAAATTCCGCACAGCATGTATAAGTGTACCACGTGGTCTAATTGAGGTTATAAGATTATATTAAACTCAGGATTGCCACGGGTCAGAGAAATCACGGAAAAGTCAGGGAAAGTGAGATTTGTCAGGGAACTTTATAAAAAGTACTGGAAAAAATATCAAATTTCTAAAAATGCTTCTAAAATTATCATTTTTCAATTCAAACTTTTGCTTCTAATAATTATTTTCATACATTTTTATACATATTTATTCTAGATGAAAATGAGTTCAAATATAATCTTCTTTTGAAAAATTGAAAATCGACACCAATGAAAAGCTTCCTCGAAGAAGCAAAACTGTATTAAAGTAATTAAAAAAATTAATTTAGCGAAGAATTTTAAATAAAATTTTTAAAAATAATTGAATTAAAAATTGAAATTTTGTAAAAATTATATGAATAAAAATTTAATTTTAAAGAATTATATAATAATAAAATGCTTGGTCTGTACTTTCTGTCCTAACTTGAAGTTAGCCTTTTCTGATTTCACGTGTTTTTTTGAATAGTAATGTTATAACGTGTCAAATTTTGACAATTCTTTTTCTCATTTTTGCCAAAGTTGTATAATTGTGTTTCCAAATTTCCAAATAAGTTTCTTTAAAATTCCAAATTCGAAAATTCAATTCACGAAGCTGAAGTACACAACGTTTACCAACGAAATTTTTTTTAAAGTTGTATATTGATTCAAAAATTGTATACAAATACAAAAAATTTATGATGCGCCAGGAAATTTAATACAAGATAGTAATTTGAAAAAAATTTATTTTTAAGGGTCATTCCATTTTATTTCACCTATAGTCGTTGCGGCCTATTTTTAGAAAAATTTGGTATTTTGTATTAATGACTTTTAATATCCGTACAATTCATTTTTGACAATTATTTTATGAAATTTTTTTTTATTTACGTTGAAATTAAGTTTTTAAGTTGAGTTGAACGGAAAATAGGTTAGTTTGACAGCTTTGGAAATTTTATAAAAAAGAACAGAAATAATTCAGTTAGTAAATTTTTTTTCATTGATATTTGTTTGAAATAGTCTAATTTACCAATGTTAATTCATAATTGTGTAAAAAAAGCCAAAATACTAAGTGAAAATTAATATTCAAACTTACCTGTAAAATGTCAAAATTTGTCACATTTTATTTATACTTTCACAGAAAGTTTATAAATATTATAAAATTTATTACTACGTAACAATAAGTACTTTTCATGTACTTTTACATGATATATTGGCTTTTTATTTTTATAATATAGAAATATGTGAAATTTTACCTTGAATGTTGAACTTTTCAGGATTTTATCTGATTTTGAACACTTATATCTTCGCAGGCGATAAATGAAAAAATCCCATTTTGGTTTTAAAATTTAAGTTAAATCTTCTTTATTCATCTTATCAAAATTTGGTGATGGAGAACGAGCTACTTTTTATTTTTATTCACTTTAAAAAATTCACCGTAAAATACGAATTTGAAGGTTAAAAAACAAGTATTTTTATAAATAAAATTCATACAAATAAATCTATATTGAGAAAACCAACTTCAGTTTTATAAAATTACTTGTTTTTTAACCTTTAAATTTGTATTTTACGGTGAATTTTTTAAAGTGAATAAAAATAAAAAGTAGCTCGTTCTCCATCACCAAATTTTGATAAGAAGAATAAAGATGATTTAACTTAAATTTTAAAACCAAAATGGGATTTTTTCATTAATCGCCTGCGAAGATATAAGTGTTCAAAATCAGATAAAATCCTGAAAAGTTCAACATTCAAGGTAAAATTTCACATATTTCTATATTATAAAAATAAAAAGCCAACATATCATGTGAAAGTACTTGGAAAGTACTTATTGTTAGGTAGTAATAAATTTTATAATATTTATAAACTTTCTTGGAAAATATAAATAAAATGTGACAAATTTTGACATTTTACAGGTAAGTTTGAATATTAATTTTCACTTAGTATTTTGATCTTTTTTACACAATTATCAATTAACATTGGTAAATTAGACTATTTTCAACAAATATCAATGAAAAAAAATTTAATAACTAAATGATTTCTGTTCTTTTTTGTAAAATTTCCAAAGCTTTCAAACTAACCTATTTTCCGTGCAACTCAACTTTAAAACTAAATTTCAACGTAAATAAAAAAAAATTTCATAAAATAATTGTCAAAAATGAATTGTAAGGATATTCAAAGTCATTAATACGAAATATCAAATTTTTTTAAAAATAGGCCGCAACGACTATAGGTGAAATAAAATGGAATGACCCTTAAAAATTTATTTTTAAGGTACCAAGGGCCAACGAATACCTATTAAATATTAATTATAAAAACACAGGCCTCGAATCAACTTAAAGACACAAAAAAGTCGTTTTAGTCGATTTATATTCCAAAAAACAAGTGGATTTGTTTTTTATTTTAACAAAAATATTTTACAGAATTTTAAATAAAAATTTTTTTTTAATAATAATCCTTTTCGAAGGGTTAAAGTTGAAATTTTTAGAAATAATTAAATTTCAAAAGATATTGTTAATTTCCAAACAATTATTAAATTTTACAGAACTAAAAATAATTTATCAAACAATTTTTGGAAAACATTTTTTAAATTTAATTGAATTTTCAAAGATTTAAAATTAAGATTTTTGAAATTAATTGAAACTTTAAGTGTTTTGTAATTAAAATTTTAGATGATTTCACTAAAAATTTATTAGAAAATGCGGACAAAATACAATAATTTGAAAATCATTTTTAATTGAAAAATGGTTTCAGATAGTTGAATTTTCAAAAATTATTATTAAAATAGTTAAAAATAATTGAATTTCCTTAGAGCTATAATTGAAATTATTAAATTTCAAAAAAAAAACTTTCGATGGAAAATTTTAAAAATAATTAAATTTTAGATGCTTTTAAATTCAAATTATTGAAAATTCAATTAATTTTGAATTCAAATTTTTGAGAATAATTAAATTTTATTTGATTTTAAATTGAAAATTTTTGAAAATAATTGAATTTTAATTGAAATTTTGGATAATTTAATTTTAGTTGATTTTAAATTGAAAATTTGAAAAATAATTGAACTTTAGTAAATTTTAAATAGAAATTTTGAAAAATAATTGAATTTCAAATTAAATTTTTTGAAAATTATTGAATTCCACTTGAAATTTAAGAAAATATTTATTTTGAATAGAATGCTTGGAAAATAATTGAATTTTAGTTGATTTTGAATTGAAATTTCAATACACTGTCAATTGAAATTCAATTATATAGAAAAGTTTCAATTCTAAATCACTAGAATTCAATTATTTTCCAAAATTTCAATTCACAGTAAACTACAATTCAATTATTTTCCAAATTTCAATTGAAATTCAATTATTTAAAAAATTTTCTATTCAAAATCAACTGAAATTCAATTATTTTCAAAATTTTCAATCCTAAATCAACTAAAATTCAATTCTTTTAAAAAATTAAAACAATAATTTAAAATAAACTGAAAATCAACTATTTTCAAAAATTTAAATTTGAAATTCAATTATTTTTCAAAATTTTAATTAAAATTCAATTATTTTTAAAAATTTAAGTACAATTCAGTGAAAATTACAATTTTCAAGAATTTTAATACGAATTTGTAAAAAACGGACAAAAATTTTAATTATTTTCAAAGATTTTGGTTCAAATTTTTCATAAATTTTATTATTTCTAAAAAATAGTTTATTTCCTTTTAAAAATACCATTATTTTCTGAAAAATTCAATAAAAGCTCAAAGATTCAATTATTTTTCAATATTTAAATTATAATTTGTGAAAAAATTATTTTTTAAAAAAATTTCAATAAAAAATAGGCAAAAATTCAATTATTTTCCAAAATGGCATTTGAAATTCAATTATTTAAAATGTTTTAAATCAAAAATCAACTAAAATTCAATTATTTTCAAAAATTTCAATTTAAAAGCTTCTAAAATTTAATTATTTCTAAAATTTCCCATATCAAATTTTTTGAAATTTAATAATTCCAATTATAACTCTCCTGAAATTCAATTATTTTTAATTTATTCTTCGGCAAATTCAACTATCATAAACCGTTTTTCGCTTAAAAAGTTTTCAATTTATTGTATTTTTGTCCGCAATTTCTAATAAATTTTTTAGTGAAATCATCAAAAATTGTAAATTACAAATCACTGGAAGTTTAATTAATTTAAAAAATCAAAATCACTGAAAAAAATTTAGGAATATTTTAATTAAAAATTTCGTAAAATTCAATTAGTTCAAAAAATTTTAATTATTGCTTATTCTAAACTCAATTATTTCTAAAAACTTTAACTTCAATTTCTTTTTCAATTAATTATATCGAATTAACGTATTTTTTTCTGTTTCAAGACAGTAATTTTTATTATTGTTATTTTTGGATTAATTTTACAAAGTAGGTATTTTCAATTTAAAATAATTGGATTTTTAATAGATATTTAAATTGAAAATATAATTGAAAATAATTAATTTTTTGTGATTTTTATATGAAAATTTTGGAAAATAATTGAATTGAGAATAATGAAATTTTATTTGATTTTAAATTGAAAATTTTTTGGAAATAATTGAATTTTAATTGAAATTTTGGATAATAATTTAATTTAAGTTCATTTTTGATTGAAAATTTGGATAATTAATTTTGAATAGAAATTTT